TATCGAATGTGTCTGTGAAACTAGTAGTTCCATTGATTGCCCACCTGCTTGTTTGCATTTCTAAGGTTAGTTAGTTCGCTGCGGAGGGTGGGTAAGGCTGATGCAAGCCTCAGAGACGTGATGCCAAGAGCCTTCAAGGAATTCCGTATGTTCGGCTCAAGGCGAAGGGAGGGGCCTACTGTAGAAGAAGTTCCGCCATACCACAAGTCCCCGGCTCCCCTGGCCCTGCAAGTTGCAGCGCAGGCCGTGGGAAGGAAGGATTTCGGATGTGAGAGCCTGTCTTAGCACAATGGACCTCTGTGAACCAAACCAGGCTGCAGGGCAGCAATGAAGGCTGCACGCGGTTTAATCGAGGTTTCGGCTCATGGGGTCAACATTGAGGATTCCTTCAACCAAGCTTGTTATTATTATTATTCTTATTATTATTTCTATATTGTTATTATTACTATTATTGTTATGATTACAAATACTGCACCACACATCAAAGAGAGGCCTCCTGGCATGTGGACGTTGGCGGCATCTCCCTCCTGCGGCGACTGCCGCCAGGGCCTCACAGAGTCCTAGCTCCAGGGTCTACCGAAGATCTGTCGGGAAGCAACGGGGACAGAGGGCCCCTTATATTGAGCTTCTTGAGGCTTCCCGATCCGTTCATGAGCTGCGTGCGACTGGCGAGACGCATCCTGTGCCCAAATTGGCTCAAACATGTCCTGCCCTGCTTCTTGCCGAAGGAGTGCTGAGTACGTCAATAGCTCGTAATTGCTCCATGAGATGCCTCTTCGCAGCGCGAGAGCGTCGGTAGGAGATGGCAGGGGACCAGAAGCTTGCATCCGTGGTGCCCGTTGAAGCAGTGGGCGATGACGATGAGGCGCCGAAGCCAGGAGCCATCGTGCAGTTCACCACTGCGATCTACTTCGTGGAGGAAGAGGAGCCGGATTTGACCATCGACATCATGCGATTGGGATCCTTGAAGGGCGACATCAGCGTGGACTGGCTTACTGAAGACGGTTCCGCAAAAGCAGGAGTACGGTACGAGGCAGCGAAAGGTCAGATTGTCATGAAGGATGGCGAGTACCGGAAGCAAATCAAGATCAAGACGATCGCCAACGATTTCTGGTCTCCGACATTGGAGTTCAAGGTCAAGCTCGAGAATCCGAGTGGCTGTTCACTGGGACTTTTCTTGAAATCCTGTCGTGTCAAAGTGATTGACGGCGACACCTTCCCCTCAAGCATGAACAGGGAGCTGTTGCTGCAAGGTGAGGACGGCGTGCGACGAATCCGCATGATACGGCTTCTCTGGGAGTTTTGGAAGCTCTGTTTCAATCAGGTGAAGGGGGTGAAAACCCGGACCTTGGTCACACTGTTTTTGGATCAGCTCCGGAATGCGAGGAAACTCTCCGTCCTCCTCCTCAACATCTACATGGTGGACGTTGTTTTCAATACCGGGGATTCGACGACCCAGGAACAGCTCATGCTTGCCACTCGACAGGAGACGGCGCTGCTGGTTGGGATATGCCTTGCTGCACCGATGATCCTTATGCACGTGGCGGCCCTGGTTAAGGCCAAGATGGACTTGAAGGGCCACATTAATCTTTTTCTGCAGCGAGCCCTTTTTCGAAAGTACATGAACTATAGTGAGGAGTCCCGAAACGATACTCCTCCTGCCACGGTACAGGGTGCCGTCCTGTCGGACGCAGGAGATGCCGCGGAAAGCTACATGAAATTGTTGGAGCTTGTGTCGATCGTCGTTCAGCTTGGGATTTTCATTTACTTCACTCTCATGGAGAACCCCGAAGCGTTGGTGTTCATTCTTTTAATGCCATGCTGCATGGTGATCTACTTCATTGTTGTCGGTCTGATCCGCGGACCCCGGGATCTGTGGAAGGACACTGAGGACGCGATGCTGTTTCTGGTCGAGGAAGTGTGCCAGCGCTACAGGCTCGTGGCAGACTACTTCCAAAGGCCTCAGATGAACGATGAGTTTGAGAAGACCAGCGGCGAGCTGCGAGAGGGAATCGTCCCGGACAATATGCGAGATTCCAACGACGAAATGTTCCCGAAGTGGCTAGGTCCAGTCTTCATGGCCATCTATATCGCCCTCGAGGCGAATAGCGTGGTGGAGGGAAGATTGAGCCTCGGAACCTTCCTAGCCACAGTGGGCATTATGAGCGAAATCAGCGACCAGTTCGGCGAGATCTACGGGATCATTCTGGAGCTGCGCTTGCTGCATGTAGCAGTGGTGGACTTGACCGTGATGTTCAACAGTGCGACAGACCTCAAGAAACAAAAAGACGTCAACCGAAAGCGCCGCGAAGAATCCAGAAAGGCACGTGATGCCCTGTTCTCAGGGCCCTCCGATCCTGATACCGATCCTACGACGGCCTTGTACAAGACGGACTTGATCCCAATTAGGGTGGATAACATGGGCTACTCGTTGATGAATGCGGAGGGGGACGTCATCAAAAAGCTCTTCAAGGACGTCTCTGTTCAAGTGGAGCAGGGAAAGTTGATTGCCGTCACGGGCGACCATGGTTCTGGCAAAGCCACGCTGTTGCGGCTTCTTGGCGGCGTGATCTATCCCCAGGAGGGTCTAATCTTCATTCCGTCGCACCTCCGGGTGCTGCATGTTACTCAGGAGGCGCTCATCCTGAATGGCACGCCTTGGCGGAACTTGATTTTTGGATGCCCTCCTCCGGCCAAAGTCGACCCGCAGCGCGTGAGAACCATTCTGCAAATGATGGGGATGAAGGTGACGCTGGGGCTCATTGAGGAGGATTTGCAGAAGCATGCCAAAGGGGAGTCAACCCAAAAAGCTGCCGAGAGTTTCCGAGATGCATGGATCGGGTCCATGACCTATTCGGAGAAGGTCAAGATCCACCTGGCGCGGGCTTTCATCATGAACCCTGAGGTAATGGTTCTCCAGCGGCCGCTGCACCATTACGATGCACCCACAGCCGCGATCATTCTGGGGCTCTTGCAGGCCCACGTGAGGGAACGAGGGCTCGGGTTTCCTGCGAAGGATAGAGAGCATCGTCGTCCCAGAACCGTGTTCTTTACAGTGGAGGAGAAGTCACAGGCAGAGGCCTCCGATGTGATTTGGAGGATCACGGACGACGGCGCTGTCGTCACAGGGAGCAAGGGTTAAGCCTTTCGAGATACGGACCGTCGCATTTGCATCAGCCTGGAGTAGCTCGTATCTAGCCCGGCCATGACACCAGACCAGACCCTACCTGTCCGTTTTCACGGATTCCCGGGCTGAACACCCCACTAAGACATCCAAAACCCTAACTGCATTATGCTCCTCCGCGAGTCTTTTTGCTGAAGCTCCCATAATATGACGTGGGATCTAACAGTGGTGTGAGGTTCCGGGCACCTGGTGTTCTTTAGGTACCGAGCTCCAGGAAAGAAACTGTGCAACATCACTCGGTTTAGGGTTTTTGAATCCAGCTTTCAGAAGTGTAGTTTAGGGATCATCAAGCTTTCCCCGGAACATAGCCGCCGAATGACACTTTTGAGAGGGTGCCGGGGTAACCCCAAAACCCTCTCTGCATACGCTTACATAACGCTTACGAGAATCCCCTCACGGCTCAAAGCCCCAGGGACCAGCTCGGAGAAGTTTGTAGCATTTTTGCGGCAGTAGCGCTCGTTTGGACACGCAAGGCGAAGCCATGCGAGCACTTCGAAACCAATAAACCTGTTTGCACTCTCGCGCCCGTTTCAACCAAGCTTTTTTCAAGTTCATACTATTTGCATAGTATCCTAAGGGTTGTTGCAAGACTGGCCTGATGTAATTGGGACCTTCTAGCCTCAACAACCAGAAATCGGCTTTTGTGTGGCACAGGAGGAAAGCTTACCCCAGGCTCTTCTATGCCGATTCCTTCAGAGCTGTCTTTGTCCTTCGTTCGGAGCTTCAAGCGCTAGGGGAAGCATCAGAATCACCCGAACCCCATATACACCGGGAGGAGTCCTGCAGGTTCTGAGCTGCAATGAAAGGTTTTGCATCGTTGTCGTGCATAGAGACTCGAGCTGTGAAAGTCAAAGCACAAAGCTGACGAACCAGAAGCTAAGTCCTGCTGTTCTGCTGGGGCACAGCTTTTCCAATCCCTCCCGTCAAGCACGCCCATGTTCTTCGCAAGTCTTCGCTTGTGAGACCGAGGCCAAGTTCGACCTGCGCTTCGCATTCTCGCCGGGGCAGCGTAGGTAAGGGACCTTTATAAAACCTGTTTTGCATGTGCATATACATAAGTGAGCATCTCTGTGTATATATGCATATATATATATGTATATACAATATTTATTTATTTGTTCATTTCTCTTTTCACATATGCACAGATATGAATATATATGTATATATACACACATATACATACATATACATACATGCATACATACAGACATACACGCACACGCACACACGCACATCCCTAGCATGATTAATTAAAATGTTAACTTTTGGGCTCGGGTGCACAGCCCCCTAAGGATAGCACGATATGCAGACCCCTGCTGAATAAACCCCTACCTCAACAGGCAACAGGGATCCGAATTCGAATCGGCAGGCCCATAAAGAAAGGGCATGGACAAATCAGGGGTCTACATCATCATGCCAGCTGCATGTGGCGGCCAGACGGAGCTCCTGCATGAGACGGAAAAAAAGTACACTTTGCAAGTACTGGAGGACCCCGCCTCAAGCGAAGTAGATGTCGAGAACGTAAGTCTTTGAATCAAGATGCACGACTACTTACACATGCGCTGATGTATGCTTACATTCAAACGTGCATCTTCACATACATTCATATGCACAAATACAAGAAATTTTGTGTATGCTTGAAAGACCATGAGGGTGATCAGCCATTCAACGGGTGGCTGGCAGGTTCAGGCCCTTAGCAATGCATCCGTGCTGCATCCTGATAGCATCTGATAGCAAGTTTCTGCTGGATTCGTTCTTGTCGGCTCAATGTAGGTAAGACTGCCAAGGGAGGGAGCGGCCCGGAAGTAGGCCCGCCATGCTGCAAGTACACCCGACGCCCGCTGGATACCAGGTGCCCCATGGCCCTGCAGTTGCAGCGAAGGCCTTGGGGCGGGGAGCTACTGGTGTATCAGGCGTCGGTTTGCCCAGCGCTACAGTGCCAGCCTCAAGTTCCTTCAACCTCACATGCCTGAATGAACCCAAGCCCCTCTCAATCAAAGAGTGTCTTGAGGGTTGAAGCTTCCACGAGCTACTGGTAGCTTCCTCCCCACAGTTGCGTGATGTTGGCATGGTGCGTCTGTTAGCTGGTTTAAGTCGTCGCAGTTCCTACAGACTCCAAAGTCAAGTATACTCATAGTCACGGCAGTGGGACATCATGAGATTACCTAGTGAGGCTAGCAACCATCTAGCCAGTGTTGTCGCCATCGTAGTCATCACACACAGCAAACAATGAGATCAACCTATCCTCTCTTCTACTCTTTAGGCTAAACCCTGCACACTTTGCCAGCACCTTTTGCAGCATGGCGTAGCACCTGAGTTGCCTTGATGCTGAAAGGTCCAGTCGCATGCGGCTCAACCGCTATAAAGATAAGGGTTCTCTTGGAGACAATGCAAGAGTGTTGCTGCAAATAGGTTCTATGAGAGTTGCTGCAAGGGTTTCGCTGTTTTGCATCTGTGTGGGGGCTTGGGAATGCAGCATTGAGATGTAGGAAACAGGGCTAAGCCGATTGTGTTCGTCTCAGTCCCATCAGAGAGAGGCCTACATGCCAGTGATGGTCCCCAATCGCGTGGCACGGGCCCCAGCACTTACCCATCAGGGCCTCACGGCGGTCGGACCGAAAGCTCTAAAGCAAAGTCACCCCACGAATGCCTAACGAAAAGACACGGACACGTGCCGAAACATGTTGAGACATCACAGACTTTATGAGTGCCCGCTTAATCGAAAGCTGGGTGACATAAGCAGGGTGTCACCAAGGTCGTGTCGGTCGTAATTCATTCTATGTCACGACCTCTATTCGGGCTTGCTAATCAACAGAGAAATGGTGGGTCACAGATGAGACGGGCCCTACCCGAGCTTTTTGCAGACTTTCTGACCGGACACGAATTGTGCATGCACTTGTCGACAAATGGCGCAAGCGCTTTTGCATGACTTGTCTTGTCTCCAGTTTGGATCGAGCAGGCCCAGTCGGACATTTACAGCGCCGATTTTCGGGATGTAGCAATTATGGCGAGGGAGCCGTTGGCGGGAGTGGTGCCCGCTGCCGTGGACCAGGACGATGCCATGTCGAAGCCAGGGGCTATCGTACAGTTCACAACTGCAAGTTGGTGACTATTAGTGGCATTGTTTTCTTTTCGGAAGCTTGGGTTTCCGCATTTATGATACAAAAAGATTGGAAGCCCAGAAAATGTTTTCCTTCCTTCCAACTGGAACCAAGGCAATCTACTTTGTGGAGGACTGGGAAACTGTTCTGACCGTTGACATCATGCGGTTGGGATCCTTGAACGGCGAGGTCAGCGTGGACTGGTTTACAGAAGATGGTTCCGCAAAAGCAGGACGACAGTACTACCCAGCGAACGGTCGCGCTGTCTTCCTTGATGGCGAGTACCGGAAGCAAATCAAGGTCAACACTATCTACAACCATTTTTGGTCTCCAACGCTTGAGTTCAAGATCAAGCTTGCGAATGAAAGGGGATGTTCCCTGGGTCTTTTCTTGAAGTCTTGTCGTGTGAAAGTGATTGATGGCGACACCTTTCCGTCCAGCGTGAACAGGGAGCTGTTGCTGGAAGGCGAAGACGGCGTGCGACGAATTCGTGTCACGAGCCTTCTGTGGCAATTCTGGAAGCTTTGCTTCACTCATGTGCCTGGGGTCAGGATCCGGACCTTGGCCACGCTATTCCTGGACGAGTTCCGGAATGCGAGGCGCATTTCTGTTCTCCTCCTGAACGTCTACATGGTTGACGTGGTTTTCAATACAGACGATGCAACGACCCAGGAACAGCTCATGCTTGCCACTCGACAAGAGACGGCTCTGATTGTTGGGGTCTGTTTGGTCGCACCTCTGTTCCTTCAGCACGCCGCGACGCTAATGAAGGCCAAGATGGACCTGAAAGGCCACATGAATATGTTTCTGCAGCGAGCCCTCTTCCGAAAGTACATGAACTACAGCGAAGAGTCCCGAAGCGAAATTCCTCCCTCTGCAGTGCAGGGTGCCATCACGTCGGACGCAGGAGATGCTGCGGAAAGCTACATGAAATTGTTGGAGCTTGTGTCGATCGTCGTTCAGCTTGGGATCTTCATTTACTTCACTCTCATGGAGAACCCCGAAGCTTTGGTGTTCATTCTTTTAATGCCTTGCTGCATGGTGATCTACTTCATCGTGACTGGTTTGATCCGAGGTCCCCGAAATCAGTGGAAGGACACTGAAGACTCGCTGGTGTTTCTGGTTGAAGAAGTGTGCCAGCGCTACAGGCTTGTGGCAGATTACTTTCGAAGGCCTCAGATGAACGATGAGTTTGAGAAGACCAGCGGCGAGCTGCGAGAGGGAATCGTCCCGGACAGCCTTCGAGATGCCAACGACGAGATGTTCCCGAAGTGGCTTGGCCCAGTTTTCATGGGCATATACATCGCCCTTGAGGCGAACAGTGTACTGGAGGGACGATTGAGCCTCGGAACCTTCTTGGCCACGGTGGGCATCATGGGCGACATCAGTGACCAGTTCGGCGAGATTTATGCAATCATTCTGGAGGTGCGATCGCTCTACGAATCGGTCGTGGACTTGACCGTGATGTTCAACAGTGCGACAGACCTCAAGAAACAAAAAGACGTCAACCGAAAGCGCCGCGAAGAATCCAGAAAGGCACGTGATGCCCTGTTTTCAGGGCCCTCCGATCCCGATACCGATCCTACGACGGCCTTGTACAAGACGGACTTGATACCCATAAGACTCGACAAGATGAGCTACTCCTTGATGGATGAATTTGGAGACGTCACCAACACACTCTTCAAAGATGTCTCGGTTGAAGTGGAGCAGGGAAAGTTGATTGCCATCACTGGCGACCTCGGCTCAGGCAAAGCCACACTGTTGCGGCTTCTGGGCAGCGTGATCTATCCTCAAAGAGGTCTGATCTTCATTCCGTCGCACCTCCGCGTGCTCCACGTCACCCGAGAGGCGAATATCGTGCATGGCTCGCCCTGGCGGAACTTGATTTTCGGTTGTCCCCCGCCGGCCAAAATCGACCCTCAGCGCGTGCAAGCCATTCTCCAGATGATGGGAATGAAGTTGACACTCTCGCTGATCGAGGAAGACTTGGAAAAGCATGCCAAAGGAGAGCAATTGGAGGCAATCTCCGAAAGTTCTGGCGATGCTTGGATAGGGTCTACTTCCTACTCGGAGAAGGTAAAGATTCACCTAGCGCGGGCTTTCATCATGAACCCCGAGGTCATGGTTCTGGAGCGCCCGCTGCACCACTACAATGCAGAAACAGCAAAGACGATTTTGGGGCTCTTGCAGGCCCACGTGAGGGAACGAGGGCTTGGCTTACCTGCGAAGGATAGAGAGCATCGTCGTCCCAGAACCGTGTTTTTCACGGCGGAGGAGAAGTCTCAGGCAGAGGCCTCCGATGTGATTTGGAGGATCACAGATCAAGGCATTGTCGTCACAGACACAGGCGATCTGATGTCCGAGGGCTTGGGCATGGACGAGGGGATACTCCTGGAGTAGTGATTGGTTTCAGGGGCATGCTTCTTGCGATGATTCGGTAGATGCATGAACACTACAAGCTATCGGACCTAGCTGTTGTGACTTGGTGATATGCCCTAGCGCTGGGGCTGTAGCTTCTGTTACCTCTGCTCGTACCGCAAAAATTCGGTGGAGCCAGAGAACGTTCAAATTTTTACGTGTCACCTTCGCCCTGGTTGGCTAGGCCACCAGAGCGCCTGCTTTCTCTTGGCGCTTGGCTAAGACTGGGTTGTAGTTCTCGACATGGGGCTATGGTTGTTGGGACGGGGCATACTGTGCGTAAACCTCGCCCCTAAGTTTGACCCTGGCGAATCCCCTTCAGAACTCGAAGAAGTAGGGCACTCGAGGATTCAGGGGTTCACGGTGCAATGGGTGACGGGCTGCCTGGATGAATCTGAGAATCAGATTCACCGTGCTTGTACATGCATATGCGGCCGTGAGAAAGGGCCTGGGCACAAGCCTACCCTAAATCCCTTTGGGCCCTGAAACCCTAGCCGCTGGCCGCCCTAGCCCCTTATCGCCCGAAACCCTTCTAATCCCTCTAAGACCAAACCTGCGAGCATCGATTTCTGTAAGCCTCCTTTGGAAGCAAACTTGGGGATTCTACAAGGTGGCCAGAACACAGGAACTACAATGGAGACTATAGGCACCTATGAAGGCAGCTAGATTCGATTGTGCTGAGGTGGTTCGTCCAGCAGCGCCCCTTCAACCTATGGTCGCCCTTCCAAGGGCTCCGGTGCAGGCCTGCCCATTCTGGGTGTATGCAGGGTTCGCGGCAATCCAAGCCCATGCAGAGAAGGATCGATATTTGTTTCTTCCCTCAGTATGCTTTCACGGGTTTTAGTTTCGGTGCGTTTTGTTGTGGTATGCCGAGGAGGCTTGAGTGGGTCGGTGCCTTAAAGGAAAGCTCTCCTCGATCAAAACCGTAGAAATGCCGACCCCACGGCTTTCCTGTATAGGATTCAGGGGTTGAGTCCCTAGAAGCCCTTAACCGGAAAATCCGAATCCCTAGTCAAATCATCCAGTCGGTCCCCGAATTGAGAACCGAGAAGCGAGTCGAGAAGATTTTGCTTCGCAGGTGCAGAGACCCATTTGCCAAGCAGGCTGGCAAGACTGTCACCGCTGGCTCCCCTGAATCCGCGCCCTGAGATTGCCACATCTTGTCAGCGCTTTGTAGGGCCTGGGGCTTTGGATAGCAGCACACCCTGTGCAGGTGTGCAGACCACCCTCTTCGGCCATCGGAAACCTGGGGCTTGGGAGGGCTGTCGCTTGGACTTCCCAGGTTTTGGCCAATCTGTGTTGTGAACCGGGGAGAGTTGGTTCAGAATTCTAAGCTACTGATTAACCAGAAGAGCAACTTTATGTATGGTCTACTCCTGTTCGGCTGAGGTCGGCATGTATGGACCCCCTCCGTAAGTTTGATTCCACCGCACTGCCTTGCCCACTCCTGCCCCTGTGAGCTCGACTTAGGCTACAGCTTGGTGAAAACCCTGGGGAAGGGTTGCTTCGGCACGGTGCATCTGGTGAAGCCGCGAGACGGCGGGGAGGAGCGCGTCGTGAAGGAGGTGGAGCACCGCCCGAAAAGCAGCAAGCCATGCTTTCTGCCGCCAGCGATGTGAGTAAGAGTTCAGAGACGCATCACATATGCTTTACCGTCGTGACGAAGGAGCCAAGCGAGAATGCTAAAGTGCTAGTAGCCCTTCCTCCCTGCATTCAGGTGCCCTTCAAGCCAAACATGCCACGCGAGTCGGTGCTGCGGGAGATTGAGAACATGAAGGCTGGGAGTTGAACGGAATTCGGGACCACCACATTCCCCAAGGGCCCAATAGGCCTCGCATAGTTGCTGCCCCGCCTGGCCACCTGAATTCTGGACACGATTCTGGCACATCTTCCCGAGTTTTGTACCATGCCGCCAGCGACTAGAGCTTGTGTTCTCTATGCATAAACCGGTTTCAGGACATAGCTTGTCTTGAAACCAACACTCTACACGAAGCATGTGTCAGGCCATGGACCACCCTCACGTCTTGAAAGTCTTCGAGTATTACGAGTCAATCGGAAAGCGGCTGGACAAGCAATGCTTGAAGTGACGAGCGGCTTAGGCCAACCCAGACTATGGATTGTAGTAGTTTCTGCTTGTATAGTGCGGTTCTTCAGCATGCTCCCTCTCTCTATAGATAGATAGATAGATAGATAGATAGATAGCAGCCTGCACCCCAACCCTAACCTCGGACCACCCATCTGCTTAATCAACCTGCGCCCCAAGACCGGCCCCCACGGCTTTCCAGAACGTGTGTATGTGCAAGCCTAGGTCCAAGCAAGAAAAACCCTCTTACCATCTTTTGTAGACCTGTAGATACATCCTCTAGACTCTAGGCTCGCAGTAAATCGGAGTTCTTGATTTGCAACTTCTGATCTGTTCCAATCTAAGTAACAAGCTAAGGTCTTGTTTCGGATGCCACCAGCTAGCTGACTTTTGCGTAAGTGGTTTCAGAGTGTTATCTCGTTTCTGTTTCTTTTCTGCTTGGTTTATGCTTGTTGCTCTGACTTTCGGCAATGTCCTGCGAGCGGATGTGCAATTCGTTTCTTTTTTTCCCCAATATTTTAATATTCCTGGAATTCATAGGAATAGCTCAGCAGGGGACGACATATGTCGAACCGCCCTTGGCTGTCTTCATGTTCCGAAAACGCTGCGGTTCGATAGCACCAAATTTTCTGAAACGACACCCTTCGCTTCGGCCGCTGCGCTTTCAGAAAAAGGGCGGCTCGATAGCACAAAATTTTGCGAAGGGTGTCGTTTCAGAAAAGTTTGTGCTCTCGAACCGCTGCGTGCTCAGCAAATGCAGACAGCGAAGAGCAGTTCGATAGCACCAACAGAAATTTGGCGCCATAGCACTGCGTTTTCAGAAAACGACGACAGCAAAGGGCGGTTTGATAGCACGAGATATTCCGGAGGGTGTCGTTTCAGAAAATTTGGTGCTATGGAACTGCTGCGGTTTCAGATGAGAAAACAGCGAAGGACGGCTCGATAGGGCGGGGCTGGATGGGATGGGCTGGGTGGCTGCGGGGCTGAGGTGGCGGGGTGGGGGTTGGTGTGCGCTGGGACTGCAGTGGGTTTGAACTCTGACCTAATATTGCTTAGGGTTCCTATTGCAACTAATGCAGTGTAACATACCCAAAGCCCTCGTTTAGTCATTAAGGCAGTTTTTTGTTTTACCAACCTGTCTTGGTTTCAGGTTAGGGGTCTTTGAGTTGGGCTGAGGGGTCTAGGGTCATAGGACTAGGGGTTTTTTGAAAAGAGGAGCAGTCAGTACTAGGGACTAGGGTCCCTTTGGGTCCCAAACTTTTTGGGGGCCGTATCAAAAGTAGAATTGCATAGGGTTCCGTAGCAGGACTATGCTGTTGACAACTGCCCACCTGAGGATTTGCATGGTCCTGGAGGCCTGCAAGGGCGGCGAGCTCCAGGCGTCAGAGCCCTTCGGGTTTAGGGCTCCAGGGTTTAGGGTTTGGGTTTGGGTTTCTTTAGAGTTTAGGGCTGCAGGGTTTAGTTTAGGGGCTAGGGGTTTAGGGTAGCGTGGCACACTCTTTGAGAATCCTAGGGTCAGCCATGTGTCTTGAACTGAGAAATGGAAAGTCGAGCAGCCCATCGGCCATACCCTAAGACTCGAGGTACGTCAGTAAACAAAATCTGAAGAAACAGCGTGCACGCACATGTACAATCTAGATGCATGTATATATATATACACACATACACACACACACATTATATATATATATATTAACATATAAACCCTGGACCAGATGTCTACTCTTTAGTTAGGCCTTTCAGCAATTACACCCGGATCCAGATGCGGCAAGCCAGAAGAGACAGCGCAGGATCTCATCGCGGCCCATGCGCGGAGTGGCCTCGCGCTCCCCGAGCGATTCATCTCCGAGGTGGGGAAGATGGTTCGGCGGTTGTTGGGGTTGAGTGTTTGGTCTCACGGCGAGATAAAGCTAAGAAGCGCACATGATTGAGTGTATGGCAGTGCAAGGTTCTACGAAGGGATATAAAGTTAAGAAGCGCAGGCTGACCCTCCGGAGCCGAAAGTAGTTCGACTTGGAGTGATTCTGTTGTTTCAGCGCCAGGTGATGGGCCAGTCGCTTGAGGCGATCTCGTACTGTCACAGCAAGAACCTTATCCACAAGGCGCATCGCAGTGTTTTTTTGGAGTATGGTTAGCAAGTTCTGGCCATCTTAGGCCGCAGTTGTGGAAGTGTTAACTTTTTGTGGTGACACGGCACCGCTTGGTGGGGTGCTGTGTGGAGGCGAAGGTGCTGGGGCATGTGGACGTGGTGCCGGTGGTGGTGTTGCTGGGAGCTGCTAGTCGTAGTTGTTGTCGTCGTTGCAGTAGAGGAGTGGTAGCTGGGAGCAGCAGCAGCAGCAGAAGCTGCAGCCGTGGTGCAGTAGTAGCAGCAGTAGTCGTAGCAGTCGCAGTAGAAGCAGTAGAGTACTGGCGCTGGTGCTGGTGCTGGTGCTGGTAGTGGTGGTGGTGGGGGTGGCGGCAGCCACAGCGGTGGGTGTAAGCAGATGTAGTAACGACTGCTTTTGCTGCAATAGTACATGGTACCATGTAGATGAGCCGGCAGGCCTTTAACTTGCATAGGTCTTCCGCGCGTGGATAGTTTGAGACCGTTCTCATTGTGCAAGTGCAGACGCTGAAGTGTATATAAGTCCATGGTGCATGGACCACTTCTCTGCTGTGAATTCACTGTCCGTGGTTGTGGTTCAGGGCTGACTCTCGCATGGTCCTTCTAAACGCCTACACTTGAGCCACCAACCCAGCCACGAGAGGACCTCAAGGCAGAGAACATCATGCTGCTGCCCCTGTGCCTGCAATTTGTTAGCTTGGAGCCACAAATTGACTGGAAGTTGCGTGGCGTGTTCAGCGCTTCTTGGTGCTTCAGACTTGGTGCCCGCGTATGGACATCGTACGAGCTTCCGTCGCCACGGTTGCAGCTGACAATGTATGTAGACCCCAAAGTAGCATGTATCTGGTCCTTTCGGGGAAACTAGCACACCACGACCACAACTACTGCCAAAGTCATTGTCCGTATTGGAAGCCCAGGCATCAGGTTGACATCGCTGCGGGTGATCGGCCACATTGCATCATCATCGATCTTGGCTTGGCTGAGATGCACAGTTCTCAGATGGATGTAAGGCTGAGGCCACCGAGAAGATAACTTCAATCGTGTGTTCGGAGTCTTACTGAGCTTCTGCATTACCTTAGTCAACTTGGGGGTGTCATGCTTCCAGCTTCCTGATGCCTGGTGCGGCTTCTACAAGGCCTCTGCAGGTGTGGGGTCGTCGGCCAGTTGTGTTTCAGCATTCTTGGTTGCAAGGCCAGATCTGTCATGTGTATGTATGTATGCATGTATGTATATGCACACGCAGAAGTTTATATGAAGTACTAATGTGGCACATAATACTGTCTTTCCGCAGGTCCTCGACCCGAATCAAGATTTCGCGGGACAAGCATCAGTGAGGTGAGTCAGCTTCACTCTGAGGTTCTTGCCGAGTCTCCCAAGAGGGAAGATCTACGGCGGCACGAAGACGACCATGGCGCCAGAGGTGATGTTCAGCCCTCCGGCAAACCTTGCACTGGGCTGTCTTCCCCGAACACTTAAGCCGAAGCTCGCCGGCTGTACAATATTAGGTTTCTCCTGGAAAGGCCAGCTTTTTACAGTATTTTTCGAAAACTTGGGTTTTGGGTCCCTAAGATCTGCCTCAGATCTTTTGCTATATCATGGTGGTATGACATGCCGCTCCAACACATTCTCGGAAAGGGCGACCCGTTGAATTTTGCGCATCAAAAGACGCAGGAACAATCCGGTTCGAATTTGTACGCTGTCCAGACCCCTCCCTACACTGCTGTTTCCACAGCCATGCAATCCCAAAAACCCTCACTCAAAATACGGTCCACAAGCCGAAACCTTGGAGGCTGAACTAGGACGCTTTTCCAGAACATCCTACACACCAGCATGTTCTGCTATTTTAGCATAACACGATGTCGCAGTGTATGCCGTTCTATACTATATCATACTATGCTATGCCATAGTATGTTGTCTTGTACTAGGTTTTACTAGAAATTACCATATTGTTGTGCTACTTTCTGAAGCTCTGGTGCGACGTTTTCAGACCTCCAGCCGAGGCAACTTCGGACCGAAGTGTGGGGAACTGAGATTCCGAGAGGGGGCCTCTGGAAAAGCGGGTTTCGGCAGGGTTGAGGGTGCTTCTGGGGGTGACAGGGGAGTGTGAAGGGCTTTGCATCGGGCCGTCGTAGTGTTGAGGCGCTAGCGGGTTCACAGAGGTGCTGAAGTGCTGGTGATTTTTCTGCGTTGTTCTGTGTGGCAATGATGCCGCCAGGAATAGTTGGCTTCAATTTTGAGTGTTGTGAGAGCACGTGCTACATGATGCGAGTTCGCAGCATCTCTCCCAGCTGGCTGGCCAAGCCAGCACGAACTAGCCTGGTGCATGACCTCCATGGCTCTTAGCAGGAGAAGTTTCTGCAGCATGCTATATCACTGCAGAGGTTTTGAGTCAGGGTGTTTTTGCTACCATGTAACCAAGCCAAGACCAGAATAAAAATGGCCCTGACACCATTGCACAACCCCCGACAAAATTGGAACGATCCCAGAGAAGATGTGCGGTCAAGGGTGACGTGCACATATTGAGAAGCGCACAGAAAACCCTGCAACAAAAAGAGGCTGCGAGGGACTACCCTTGGTGAGATGGGACCTCCTTGTGCCAAGAGCCGGCTTGGTGAGAGATTAGGATTGCGTGAACTTTAGTGCTTTCCTATAGAGACTTGGACTTGCTCGAACGCAGCAAAAGGATTCTTGCGATTCGAAGTGCAGGGCTGTGACATTCCAAAGCCGAGGCGATGTTTACTCTCTCGGCTGCATCCTTTTCCAGTGGCCTGTCTTGTAACATTGTATGGACTGAACCTGGCGCCGCAGACCATGAAGCTTCGCTGGGACGAACATTGTTTTGAAGGGTTCCTTCGTGGTTTGTGAGATGTCGAGAGAGCATGGCAGCGGCCTTCCTCTTGCTGCCTGATAGCGTTGTGACATGGTTGTCTTATCGCATGGAGTTATCGTCTGTTCAACAGTGGTTTGCCTACCTTAGGTTGCAGGTCCGGCTGCTTGTTGGGATGATGGACCACTTCACTACATTACAGTACCGGACGATAGAATGAGGCTAAAGAGCAGGTGTTGGAAGCGCTGATACACGACTACACGCATTCGGTCCGAAAGCCCTTGACGTCAGTCAAGAGCGGCAGGTGGCTGAAATACAAGAATGCATTTGTATCTGACTTATACATGTATGTGTTTATATACATATGTGTATATTCATATACTGTTTATTTGCATCCCGCTTGGATCATTTCGAAACGACCGAGTTTGAGAGCCGACCGCTGCAGTGGTGAAAATTCTCTTGAAAGTTGCCACCACCACGACGCAAGACGACAACGTCGTCAAGACTTCTTCACCATCCTCATCAGAATCAGCATCCTGGAAATCGCGATGCCAATGTTGGCATCTCCTTTGGCGGTGGCAAACCCTAAACCCTAGAAGCCAGGCATTACTGCATGGGGTTGGCTGTTTGTTTTGGGTTTTGGTCAGGGAAGCTGGGTTGCTTTGCATGCTCGGTGGGGCCGAGACGCCCGGGCTGCAAGGCCTGTCAGTGAGCCGCACCGCAGCTAGCAGAAAAGGGGTACTTAAACAAAAGAAAAGACCCAGGCTTCTCAGCGGCCAGCTGCCATGTGACCCCAACAGCGCCGACATGCAACGGCGGCTGCAGGGCTGCCGCAGCAAGGCGCAGGCAATCTCCGAGCCAGTATGTACAGACGTATGTTTGTATGCGAGTGCTAAGAATATGTATGTATCTGTCTAACTCACCAACTGACTAATATAAATAAATATATATATATATATAATAAATATAATATAATAGAATAGAATAGAATACAATATAATATAAAAAGATAAATACATAAAGAATTATATATATATATATATGTATACATACATGTGTAGGTACCTATGTATGTATGTATGTATGCATGTGCATGTAAAGATAGATTTATTGTTATATAGCTGCCAGCTTCGGTTGCACGGTGGTGCTTGTTGTTTCGTTGACTTTGTTGTGCTTCTGACAACGACAGGATAATCATGAGTTTCAGGTGTTCATTGCTCTAACCGCGATAATTCCCCGATTACCCGCACAGCGTGGTGACTCATTGGTGACATTAGACGCTCTGGAAATCGACCGCTTGGAGCATGTTCTTGTGGATAGTTAGCAAGCATTAGCAGCAGCATCAGCAGGAATTGTAGCCTCCTCGTCCTATTCCCATCCATGCAATGCCTGCATCATAGTCATTCCAGAAGCAGTGGCAGAACCAACAGCACTGGCAGCAGCCGTAGGCTTGTCTCAGTTCTTCTTCCCAGCCACTATATCTTCAGGCTGTCAGGTTCGTGTGCAGAGTCTGCGCCCCCGTGGTTCCCAGGGTAACCTCCCATTGCAGGCAATAGCAAGACGAGTTGCAGAAGCTTGACTTTTGTAGTTACACCTCTCGTATGGTACAAAAGACAGCAGTGGCAGGGACACCCCGATCACCCCAATCCTCTGCAGGAGCGTGGGATCTTCCTGGAGGCAAAGTTGCGAGGCCGGGTGTTGACAAAACTTGGGGGACTTCTGTGCTTTGGACAGGTCCTAGTCCTAGAATTCGGAGTTGAAGGTGCGCAGGTTTTGCGGGCTCTCGGTCTTTGGCTTTAATTTTTTTTTACTATCGTTCTGTAATTCTGTGGGTGTGGGTCTTCTAGACCTCACTTGTTGCATGTTTTAAGGGCTTGGCAGCTCTGGTTGAAGTCTGAAGAGAGGATATGTTCGACAGTTGAAATTGTTTCGATTCACAACATGCAATGCACGGCGACAACGGCTCTACCTTGCCCGTTCAACAGCACCGTGGATTTCTTCTGTTGGTTATCCATGTATCGTCCGAACTGCAACAGTCCCATTCCCAACGAAAGGGCCAGGGAGGGGCATTTGCTTTGATTTTGGGAGATGGAGCGCTTGAAGTGTTGATTTTAGTGACTCGTGTTTAGGAGCAACGTAGTCCTGTAAGGGGTATTGGAAAAGCTGAATGCGAAAGACGACAGTTCCTGATTCTCAGCTGGCAATCCCATGAATGCTTCAAACGACTCCTGAAGACTGAAGAATTGGAGACGACGCAGCTGGCTTGCAATGCGCGTCACATGTTGCGTGGCTGGCATTGAGTAGAAAGCTTCTGCGCAAGGCCCGGACTGGCGCCTCGTCTCGAAGGCTTCGGCAGACTCTCAGGACGGTGGAGCTGCCCTGATCCCAAGCCGGAAATCAAAGATCCCCGGCCCTAAGTGGCCTTAGCTGCATTCTAAAGCTCTATGCATTGGGAGGTTGTTAACGTACTGATCAAATAGTATTCGTATGTGGCGGTTGTATGAGCAATCCCGCCATGCTGGTAATGCACGATGAAATCGTGCATGACATGCTCCTGTTGATGACCACAAATTGCTTCCCCTCGCAGTTGTTCCTGTGACGGTTTTTACTGTTAGTGTTTTTGAGCTAGTGAGGCCCATTCTTTCCTCTACATGTAGACTTCCTGGATGCGATATTATCAATTATCACTATTCGGGCGATCAGTCGTGGTGTTTGTAAGATGTAGCATAGGACAGATCATTAGACAGGGCTTTCTTGTGCATCCGTATTTATTCGCGGCCTAGACACCTCAATCCGAGAGCGCACTAACGCCGCAAGCTTGTTGAGATCACAGCAGGTGAAACCTGGCAGGCTACTGGTATCTACAGGACTAGGCTTTGGATGGAGTTGTCTTGACAAGCCTCAAAGTCAAGGACCTACGACCTTGAAGGGTGTGTCTTTGTTTGCCCCTTTCGTGTGGTTCTTGCTTTTCGTTCGTTCATTCTTTCGGTCTTTATATAAGGGCTCTAAACAGCAAATAGCACGATAAACGCATACATGCATATATGTATACAAACCAATATGCCTACGCAGACATGGAGTTAGTCGCCGATATACTTCTGATAGTCTTCTGATCTCATTTGCGTGCCATGATGTATTTGTTGAAGTTTCGTCCGTTGTGGGGCTGGGGAGCTAAACCCTAAACCCTAAAACCCTGGCTAGTTAGGGAACGGGATTCTTGGTCTTGTTTCACGCCGACTTCGCGCCATGAACCTCGCCTGGCATGTCCGAGTTGTGAGAGCGTAAATCCCGAGCTAGACTCCCCAGGAGCTCGTTCGGCGGATGATGTCTCCACAGGCTTGGGTCTCCTGCGCGCTGCCTGTTTAATATAGGGCCATACTATTTTGGGGGGTTCCTTATTGTGATTATCGTACAATATACCCCAAAACCCTACTCTAAAAGGTAAGGCCCCTACATTATCTCTTTTTTTTTGGGGGGGGGAAGACGAAAAGCACAAAGTAGCGAAACATCCGCGAGCAGTGTGATAATTGTTTCAGCCCCGTCCACACTGTATTTTGAGGCCAGCAGAGCCATCCTCAAAAGCTCAAGTTTAAGCACTGCCTGCAGGAGACAACGAGACCGAGTTGTGAGGAGGCTTTGGAACACAGGCCGGGAGTGTCTCAAAGCACAAATCAGGGTTCTGGCCATTGTTTAGGGGTTCTATGACGGTTGTGTAAGTAAGGGGTTTGCACTGGAACATCAGATTTTTCAATCCTTTCGGTAGGTCTTTTTCACCTTAGTGTAAGGCGCACCTAGATGTCTATATTGGGATCCCTGTTGAGATGCCTAACTGACCAGATGGTATCCCTCAAGTCTGCAGCATCACATTCTTCGACCAGATAAAACAGTAGCCACATTTCTATCTGTCTTGAGATGGAAACTAATTTCGTCTCTGGCTGTGTTCAGCATTCCGATTTCTTCGAAGTACCTTTGCAACATTCAATTGTTTGTTCCAGCAGGAGAGGTGGCTGACTGGTCCTGCGACACTTGCCCCTGACATGTTGGGTTGACTCGCAATTGAGATCTAGCAGCACATCGAAGATTTCATTGCTCGTGGCTTATGGACCGGAGGTACCATGGTCCTGCCGTGTTCTGTACACCTGGACAGGTGTATGTTTCAGACAGCAGTGCGGCAATCAAAGCTGCCGCGTG